TCCCAACCCCTCACTTCTGAGGGACTGTGGCTTTGACCCACTCAGACCTTCTGGGGCAGGGTCTCACCGATCAATGGGTGGGTGCTAGCTGCACCCAAGAGCACTCATGGGACCACACTGCTGCCAATGCCCAGAGACTGCGGCTGGGTGCCAGTCCACTCTAGAAAAAGTTCATGCGATCATGTAGCAGCAGCGTTTCAGGGATTATGGAAAAATCACAGCACATATCTGGTGCCAGGCTTCACCCTTAATGACCTTGTTCCAGCACCAGCAAATGTGGTTGTTCTTTGGGGTCTCCTGGGACCTTTGCCTGTGGGGTGGCCACACAGCCTCTACCAAATGTCCTCCCAGCAGGGGAATCATCTCTCCCTGTGTGGCTTGAGGACCCCTGGACCCCCATCTGCTCCTGGGATTTGCCCCTCTCACCAGAGCACCACTAGGTATTGAACTGCAGAGTTTCAGACTCTGTGCTACCCCTGTTAGTAGAGTCTTAATGGAATTTAACCCCTCTCCTTTCTCCCTTTGTATTTCAGTCCCTGCAGCTGTTTCCACTTTTCTACTTTCTCTCCAGGTGCTTTTGGGGAGGTGCTTTTCCCGTACTCTCCCCTCCCCCCACCCCCCCACCCCCCGCCATCTCCATCCTCTCTCTGCAAGCAAAAGCAGCTCCCTGCCCTCTGCGGCTTCTCATTCCTTCAGTTCACCTCTCTACTCCACGTACCTGCTGAGTTCTGTGGTTTAGGTTGTCAGATTGTTATATCAATCCTCAAATCAGTTTTCCAGGTGTGCGGGATGGTTTAGTGTTGATCTAGCTGTATTTCATGGATGCGAGATGCAAAAAAAACCTTCCATCTCAAATGATCAAGTAATTTCTAAGCCACAGTGTGGCTGTGAGTCTTGTACACTGGCACTACAAATCCATATTGGTATAAATTATTCTTATCTCCTATGGGAAGACTGGGGATTATTTAAGAGTGGGCCCAAGTGGATCTCTATCACAGCTGATGAACCCCAGGCATTGGAAAATCCTAATTTTATAAAGGGCTGTTGTCACATCTGCCCACCTCTTTCTCCCAAGTAGATATTATATCTATTGCCCTGTATATAAGCAAACTGCCTATGTGAAGAGGGAGACTACTATTCTAGAATGTAAATAAGTCTACCCTCTAACTTAGAGGGAGACACTATAATTTTGTAGACTATCTACTGTGCTGCTGTGCAAATACCCTTGAAGAGAATCTGAATTGAATAGATACACCATGGATAATTGCCTCCCCAAAGGTATCAGATTAAGATAATACTGCTGTATATTATTTACAAAAGGCGTTAGTTTTTAAATGTCATTCAGTGAAATTAATTAAATAAAATTAAAAACATGTAAAAGTAAATACCAAGGGCTATGGATGGAATGTCTTCCCCCCAAAATTCATGTTGAAGTCTAATCCCCGATATGATGGTTTTTAGAAGTGGGACCTTTGGGAGATAATTAGGCCATGAGGTTAATAGTTTCCTTATAGAAAGAGACAGCAGAAAGATGATTTTTCTCAGCCATCTGAGGATATAGTGAGAAGACCATCTTCAATCCAGGAAGTGGTCCTCACTGGACATGGAATCTGCAGGTGCCTTGATTTGGACTTTTTAACCTTCAGAAATGTGATATATAGTGTTGCTGGTGAAGCTACTCAGTCTATGCTATTTTTGTTATAGTAGCCTGAACTAAGACATCAAGTAAATATCAAAATAAAATTTAAAAAAATGCCACCTTGGATAGTAATATATAGTTTCAAATTAATATCAAAACAATCTATGGCCAAAATCTTCCCTAGAGATTACAGGTCTCTATGCTGACGAAATGAACAATTCTACTTAGAGAATATAACAATTATTAACTGGAATAAGGCTAGAAATATAGCCTTAAAATGTAACTAAAAATGGCAGAATCAATAGAATGTATTGTCAAAACCACAAATATAAGGTATGTTGTACAATATCTCCATAAGAAATCTATAGACCAAAGGAAGAAAAAATTTTGGTAGAGAAAATATGACCAACAGGCTTTTCTTGTAGGACTATGGTCTATTAGTGTTAATATAAAATTATTTTTCCCAAATATTTGCTACCTTTCCTTGTAATAGGTGAATTCATACAAGTGACATCAGTCTTGACCATGTGATTTGCTTTGTTCAAAGAATCTTAAGTCTACGTGCAATAGGCAATATTTAAGCATGAAATTTGATAGCCTTTGCATGGGCCCAACATTACTATCTTCTATCACAATAGTGGCAATGGTGTATTTCAGAGGTTGTCTCTATAGCTTGGTTACTAAAATGAAGAAGATGTGAGCAGAAAAGTATTTGACTTGTATAACATGAAGATACGGATAAGCTTTTCTTGTAAACAACTAAGATATTTTATTTATTTATTTCCACTGCATACTGTAATGCCCCCGATTTCAAATCTGAGAGACCACCAAGGAGCCAATACAGATGCAAACGCACGAGGGTTTATTTGCAAGCTCGAGCTTGGGCCCAAGTATGCCCGACACAGTGGAGCAGGGACTTGGACCCCTAGGTTAAGAGGCATAGCAGTTTTATAGGGACCAGTGGCCAATGAGATTGTAACACACACAGGAAATTTCATAGTCATGTCAGTCCACACGCAGGTGGCCAATTGAATTACAATTTACCCTATAGTAACTGTTTTAACTAGCCTATCACTCTGGTCAGAATTGGCGTGCAAGTTTGGCAGGCAAAAGGCGGGGTTTAAGAATTGGTGTGCAAGTTTGGCGGACAAAAGGCGGGGTTTACATTCTTTGGCGGTTAGGGGTTCCGCATTCCTATATGAGCTGGTTTCCAGTAAGGGTGTGCTCAGCGGCTTGACTAGGGTGGGGGAGTGTCTTAAGCAATAAGTAGGTCATGTGGGGGTTATACATGAGATGGTGGGTGTAGCACAAAATGGAGTTAGTCTTGCTCTGCTTGTCCAGGGGCAGGGAATTTTTGTTAAATTCCTTGGGTCCCACATTCCCCCCTTTTCCAGAGGATCCTATGCAGGACCCAATCATGGGTTAGGGCTTGGGGTGATGATTTGCCAGGTTAGATTAAATGGTTAGTGGGGGGTGCAGTTGGGGATACAGCACAAGTAATATTAGCAGGGTAAGTGGGAGCGATGCAGCCTTAGCTTTAAGGGATTGTCCTTGTTGGGCTGACTCTTCCATTCTGGAACAAAGTCCTTGAGGACTGCATGTGGATCAGCTGGCCGGACGTGGGTGTAGTGGACCCAGGGAATTATTCTGTCGACCTCGAGAGTGGTGGGCATGGTCAGGATTACAATGTAGGGTCCTTTCCATTGAGGTTAGAATGTCTGCTGTTGGTGCCTCCGCACATACACGCAATTGCCTGGTGGATATCGATGGGGGTCAGGTCTCGTAGAGGGCCCTCAGCTTAGGCCACACCTGCTCATGGGCTCTTTGTAACATTCGGAGGGAGAAGAGAAGTTGTTGGTCATTGAAGTGAGCAAGCACTTTGGGTTTCAAGGCAGGAATGATAGGTGGGGGTATACCAAACATGATTTTGTAGGGAGTCAGTCCCATCTTATATGGTGAGTTTCTCACCCCTATATAGGGCAAAGGGGAGGAGAGTGACCCAGTCCCTGACAGTCTCCAAGGCTAATTTAATTTAGTTAAGGTCTCTTTTAATGTCCTATTCATCCTCTCTACCTGACCTGAGCTCTGGCGTCTGTAAGCACAATATAATTTCCAATCTGCTCCCAGTATTTGTGCTACTCCCTGTGTTACCTTAGAAATGAACCCCAGTCCATTGTCGGATCTGATCCTGGCAGGAAATCCATACCTTGGCAGAATGTCCTCCAGCAGCTTTTTGGTCACGATTTGTGCGGTTTCGTGCTTGGTGGGGAATGCCTCCATCCACCCTGAAAAGGTATCTATGAAAACTAGCAGGTACTTGTACCCATACTTTCCAGGCCTTACCTCAGTGAAATCTACTTCCCAGTATGCTCCTGGGCGGTCTCCCCTGAGTCGGGTTCCTGGGTTAGACCCATGGGTGGTGGTGTTGGTTACCTGGCATGCATGGCAGCTTGCCACAATCTGCTGGATCTTTGCTCAAGAGTCTTTAATAATGATCTTAGCATGTCGTATGAGGTCTTCCATCTTTTTTGTTCCCATATGAGTACTCCGATGCATTTTGGATAAGACTCGTCGTCCTAGTTCCTCTGGCAGGATGATGCTGGAGTCTGTGGCCCTCCACCAGCCATGTAAGCATTGGGTCATAGGCAAGCGTTTAATCTGTTGTAAGTCAGTGCCAGTATAGTTGCGGGTGTCCGGCAGGGTCGGTGCCCCCGGATCAGGTAGCGTGGTTGTTAAAACCTGGGTCACTGAAAGGGCCGCCTCCTTTGCTTTTGAGTCAGCTAGCTGGTTTCCCCTGGCTACTGGTGTGTTTGCTTTTTGGTGTCCTGGACAATGGATGATAGCTAGTGCCTTGGGCAGCCAGAGGCCCTTAGGAGTTCAAGAATCTCTATTTTGTTTTTAATAGTCTTTCCCTCTGTTGTCAGAAGCCCTCTCTCTCTGTAAAGGGCTCCATGGATATGAGCGGTGGCAAAGGTGTACCTGCTGTCGGTGTAAATGTTTATTCGTTTACCTTCTTCCCATGGTTAGTGCCTTGTCCAGGGTGATCAGTTCTGCCCGTTGAGCCAATGTTCCGGCTGCCAATGGCTCTGCCCAGATGATCTCCGTCTCTGTGGTTACGGCTGCCCCTGCGTATCTGATTCCTTCTCAGAAAAAACCGCTACTGTCCGTATACCAGGTGGCGTCCGCGTTCGGCAGTGGCCGGTCCCAGAGATCAGCCCTGATTCCGTGCACCTGTGCCAAAATCTTATGACAGTTATGCAGAGGGGGGTCCCAGTCTGGGTTAGGGAGTAGCGTTGCAGGATTCAGGGTTGTAGGTGGCTTGAATAAAATTCTGGTGGGGTTTAGCAGTAGGCTCTGATAATGGGTAAGACAAGCATTCCTGATCCAGCGGTCTGGGGGCTGTTTGAGTACCCCTTCAATAGCATGTGGGGTGGTAACATATAGTTCTTGCCCCATGGCTAGCTTGTCTGCATCCTTGACCATAGTGGCCACCGCGGCAATAATTTTTAAGCATGGGGGTCATCCAGCGGCCACCATGTCCAGCTTTTTAGAGAGATAAGCTATGGGTCTTTTCCAGGGACTTATGTACTGGACAAGGACCCCTTTTGCCACCCTGTCTTTCTCATCTACATACAGGTAGAAGGGCTTGGTTAGGTCAGGCAACCCGAGAGCTGAGGCAGACAGCAAGGCCTGTTTAAGGTCATTAAAGGCCTTGTTCATGGCCTCTGTCCATTCAAAATTTTGTTGGTGCCTGGTGGCCTCATAGAGGGGTCTGGCCATCTCGGCAAAACCCGGAATCCATAATCAACAGAACCCTGCCGACCCCAGGAATTCACGTACCTGACAGACAGTTTGCGGCTGTGGGATCCTTAGGGCGGTTTCCTTCCGCGCATCCGTCAACCATCTTTGTCCATCCTTTAATTTGTACCCCAGGTAGCTCACCTCTGCTCTGCAGATTTGGGCCTTTTTGGCTGAGGCCTGGTATCCTAGAGCCGCTATGGTCTGGAGTAAGTCCTTGGTGCCTGGCAGGCAAGTGTCCTGGTCCTCCTCCACCAGCAGGATATTATCTACATATTGCAATAAGGTCAAATGAGGGTGCTCAGAACGAACTCACCCAAGTCTTCGTGTAAGGCCTCGTCGAAGATGGTTGGTGAGTTTTTGAATCCTTGTGGTAGTCGAGTCCAGGTGAGTTGGCCATTGACGCCTTTCTCAGGGTCCGTCCATTCAAAGGCAAAAGGGTCTTGGCTCTTGGGTGCTAAAGGCAGGCTGAAAAAAGCACCTTTTAAATCTAATACTGTATATCAATTTTTGTCTGGAGGAAACGTAGAGAGGAGGGTGTATGGCTTTGGGACCGTGGGGTGCACATCCATTACTTGCCGGTTGACTTCCCTTAAGTCCTGGACTGGCCTGTGATTGTTAGAGTGCGGTTTTCGCACTGTCAGCAAGGGACTGTTCCATGACGATTGGCAGAGCCTTAATATGCCTGAGTCTAGTAGTCGCCGTATGTGGGGCGTGATTCCCATTTGCTCCGCGAGAGGCATGGGGTATTGGCAGACCCTGACAGGGTCTGCCCCCAGTTTTAGTTCTATGTATATAGCCAGTCGGTGTTGGGCCAGCTCAATTCCCCTAGTTTCTGCCCATGCCTGAGGAAATTCCTGTAGCCAACAGTCAATGTCAGTCATTGGAACTGGGGGCATCTGGTGGAGACGATATTCATCTTCCAAACTCAGGACAAGCACTTGAATCAGTTGCCCTTCTTTGTCTAGGATTTTTGCCCCTCTGGGGTAGAAGCAAATTTGTGCCCCCATCTTGGTGAACAAATCCCGACCTAACAACGGGTAGGGACATTCAGGGATGACCATGAAGGAGTGGGATACCCGGCCCATGCTGAGGTCCACAGTTCTTCGGGTAGTCCATGAGTACTGTTTGGTCCCCGTGGCCCCTTGAACCCATGAGGTCTTGCTCGCCAATTTCCCCTGGGGTTGTAATAAGACCGAATGTTGTGCCCCAGTGTCCACTAGAAATTCAACTGGTTGCCCCTCCACTCTGAGAGTTACCCTGGGCTTGGGGAGGGGTACTGAACCCCAACTCCCCTTGTCATCCAGGTCCTCCATCTCCAATATCTTGGCAGGGGCCTTAGATATTTTGTTAGGGCAGTCTTTCACCCAGTGGCCTTCTTTCTTGCAATAAGCACATTGGTTTTTGTTTAGTTTAGGGTGCTCCCATCAGGGACCAGGGCCATCCTCCTTACCTGTCCCTGAAGTCAGCTTCTTGAGGTGCCTCCGTTTTTCCTGTGGGTCATCCATGGTTGTAGCCAGTGGGATCTTAGCCAAATTTCGGGTCTGCCCATCTCTTAGTTTAGTCTGTTGCTCCTCCGGGCTTTCTCTATTATTGTAAACTCTTTCTGCTACTATTATTAAGTCCTGCAGGCTCTTCTCTCCTAGCCTCTCCACTCTTTGTAATTTCCTTTTGATGTCTGGAGCAGCCTGATTAACAAAAGCCATGATAATTGCGGCTTTTGTTTCTGGGGCTTCTGGGTTCATAGGGGTGTACTGCCTAAAAGCCTCTGTGATTCTAAGAAGGCTGCTGGACTCTCATCCTTACCTTGTCTTACATCATATACCTTGGCCAGATTAGTAGGCTTGCGTGCGGCAGCCTTGAGACCTGCCATTAGCGTCTGGCGGTAGACCCGGAGTCTCTCCTTACCTTCAGCCGAGTTGTAGTCCCAGGTAGGGCGGGATAAGGGGAAGGCAGCGCTTATGAGGTCTGGGTTTTGAGTCGGCTGTCTGTCCTCTCCCAGGACAGACTTCCGAGCTTCCACCTGTATTTGTTCTCTCTCTTCGGTGGTGAAGAGAACCTGCAAGAGCTGCTGACAGTCATCCCAAGTAGGCTGGTGGGTAAAGAGAACAGTATCTAAAAGCCCAATTAAATCTTTAGGGTTATCGGAGAATTTTGCATTTTGAGTTCTCCAGTTATATAAATCACTGGTGGAGAACGGCCAATATAACATTGGTTGTTCTCCAGACTCATCAGAGTCTGGCCCCATGGCGTGGAGGGGAAGGGCAGTGGAGTTGGCCGGCCCCATATTTGAGGGTGGGGCTGCCCGGTGGGTCTGTCCACGTGTCCCTGCTGCTGGCCCGTGCACAGGAATTCCTTCATCAGGGAGGGGTGGTGCCACCCCTGCAGCCCCTGGTGCTTCCAATGGAGAGGCGGAAGGGGGAGGGGGAGCCTGGTAGGGCAGCAGATGAATCAGGTCCTCCGGAGAAGAATCTTGCAAGACCGGATAAAGGGGCGTTTTGGCCTTTGTTTCAGTCTCCTTCTCGGCTTTCCACAGGACTAGAATCTTGGTAGGTCCTGCTTTGGGGGGTAAGAATGGTTTTAGCCAAGAAGGGGGGTTTTCAATCATGTCCTGCCAGACCAGGATGTAGGGCACCTGGTCAGGGTGGCCATCTGGTTTGTCCTTGAAGATTAAGGCCTTGACCTGCAAAATAATAGGTAGGTGGAAAGTTCCTTCTCAGGGCCATCCCACATCAAAGGTTGGCCATTCTGACAGGCAGTAAGTCTGAAATTTCCCTTTTCTTATGTCTTTGTTCAAATTATGAGCCCTTTCCTTAACGTCCGAGAAGTGGGAGAGCATAAGAGACAGGGGGGTGGTTTGGGTCTGCCCCATTTCATTCCACACCAAGACACAAACAGTTATGAGGATTAACAAGGACACAATAACACAGACAAATGTTCCAGCACGGCCGCAGAGACAAAACAGAAAGTAAAACGAAGGGCTGGATGTCCGTAATGGCAGCCGGCTCTCCTCACAGATGAGGACTTCGTCCTCCTGGGGGGGGGCAAGAGACGTCTCCCAAGACCCCTGGTCGACAGCTCGCCAGAGCGTCCACTTAAGCCAATGCCAACCCAAAGACAGTTTGGAATTCCTACAGGTAGAGATACAGTATAGAGCTCTCAGAAAATATGTGTGTGAAAGGTAGAAGAAGTTGAGTGCACTCACCAGATGTAGGACCCTCTGGGTGGGGTCCTGGGGGTCTCTCGAATCCTGGACGAGCCCCCAAATGTAATGCCCCTGATTTCGAATCTGAGAGACCACCAAGGAGCCGATACCGAGGCAAACACACGAGGGTTTATTTGCAAGCTCGAGCTTGGGCCCAAGGATACCCGACAAAGCGGAGCAGGGACTTGGACCCCTAGGTTAAGAGGCGTAGCAGTTTTATAGGGACCAGTGGCCAATGAGATTGTAACACACACAGAAAGTTGCATAGTCATGTCAGGCCACACGCAGGTAGCCAATTGAATTACAATTTACCCTACAGTAACTGTTTGAACTAGCCTATCACTCTGGTCAGAATTGGCACACAAGTTTGGCAGGCAAAAGGGAGGGTTTACATTCTTTGGCGGCTAGGGGTTCTGCATTCCTATATGAGCTGGTTTCCAGTAAGGGTGTGCTCAGCAGCTTGACTAGGGTGGGGGAGTGTCTTAAGCAGTAAGTAGGTCATATGGGGGTTATACATGAGATGGTGGGTGTAGCACAAAATGGAGTTAGTCTTGCTCTGCTTGTCCAGGGGTAGGGGATTTTTGTTAAATTCCTTGGGTCCCACACATACTATATCACAGGCTGACACAGAAATAGGTATACAGAGCTTTTCCAGCAAGGCAGCAATATATATTAATTTTAAGCACAAAAAGAAAATTTCCTAAGATCACAGTATCATAGACCATTTTATCAAGCCACAATTCTACTAAACTAGAAATATATAATAAAATATGCTTTAATATGTTTGAAAACTAAATACGCTATGTCAAGTAACTCTCGTTAAATAATAAATCACAATGGAAATTATACCACAGTTAGAATGAAACTATGAACAATGAAACTATTATATTTTAAAAGTTATGTGATATGACCAAAGAAGGTTTATCAGCTTTAAAAAGATACAATAGGACTCAGTGAGTACAATGTAAGAAAGAAAAAAAAGTGTATTTATCATCTTATATTACCGGCCCATGTAATTTTCTCCTGATTGTGAATCAGGAATCACAGGTGCTCCTTTCTTTTTGCAAATCCAACATCTTAGGGTCCTTTGCTTCCAATAGCCAGTTGGGGAAAGTGGTGGGTGTGTGCAGTGAGAAAGGAAAATACACACAGAGACAAGGAGATGGCAGGGCAGAGGGAAGAGAAGAAGAGAAAGAGGAAGACAAAGGAAAGGCTATTCTCTTAACAGCTTCAAGCTGGAAACTGCATATTACTTCTGCCTATCTTTCATTTACAAGAATTAGTCTCCTGCCCCCCTCTAATGCTCAGGCTCTCAGAACTGTTGCGAAGTACATAGATCTTCACAGTCCACTAAGTCTCCTCTGTACCATTGTAAATAGGAAATGGCATGGGGCGCCTGGGTGGCGCAGTCGGTTAAGCCTCCGACTTCAGCCAGGTCACGATCTCGCGGTCCGTGAGTTCGAGCCCCGCGTCGGGCTCTGGGCTGATGGCTCAGAGCCTGGAGCCTGTTTCCGATTCTGTGTCTCCCTCTCTCTCTGCCCCTCGCCCATTCATGCTCTGTCTCTCTCTGTCCCAAAAATAAATAAAAAACGTTGAAAAAAAATTTTTTTAAATAGGAAATGGCAGTCTCCGTGATTCCTTTATTTGTGAGGCCAAAAACAAAGAAGCCAGAGATTTCACACTCTTGGGAAGAAAGGAAGCAAAGAGGCCTGCAGGCTTTCTGCAAGTGGAATGATTTAGGGGTCTCAATGGAGTAAAAGGCTTAACAAACCACAGATAAGTCAGAATGGTTGTAGGAAGTTGGGTGTTTGGATTTGTGACTTCAGCAGTAGAATAGATCTAAAGTGTAGTTTGGTTTTAGTCAGGATCCTTGTTTGGATTAGGACAATATAAACAAAGTATCAAAGCTAACTTTCTGTAATGTATGCTAGTTGGAAGCAAATATGGAATGAGTAACGAGATTGGAATTCAACACCACAGAATTATCCATGTTGTTCATTTTCTGGCGTGTTTCAATAAAAACCAAAGGCCTGACGATCTGTACATCAATTGAGTTGACCACAATGATGAGCTTGGGAGAATTTTTGCATTATAGTTTCTTGGATTTCTGTAACCTTCAAATCATTTTCAGGTGTATATTTGGTCAACCACTATCTAGTCATGCCCGTTTTGAATAGGATGGCTCATCTACTCTTGCAATCTACATTTTCTTTACATCCAAATTCAAACTGTTTGACTGAAAGAACTCTAGTGTCTGTATTGAGAATAATCCCAAAGCACTTTTCTCTAACATTGTCACCAGAGGGGAAAATCATTTCATATTACAAAAAAAAAAAAAAAAAAAAAAAAAAAATACTTCTGAACCACTAAAGCTGCTAATAATGAAATAAAGAGCTTAAAGGGGACAACTGAAACAAGAAAGAAAAAAAAAATCCCAGTCTCTATTGCCAAGAAGATTACATCCTAGAACTAGATCTAAAGGAAAAAACTTTTAAACAATTGCATTCTGACTTGATTTAAAAAATTTGGCTTAATTTTTGTTTTATTTTTTAAATAATGCTTAACTTTACACATAATTCCTTCAAATATTTGAAGGATATAGGTACATTCTTAATATTTGTCATATGATGCACAATGTTTTACTCCATTGTCACAGTCATTTGGTATATATGTATTTTTGATATATAGATTTCTAACTTTCTGGAAACTCTAGTAATCTACCTTTCTGTAAGAAAATGTGTTGAATGTTAAGGGCATTAGTCAAACTGGTCAGAAAATCTAGTCATAGGAATTATTTAAACATCCTTAGACTATGAAATGGCACCCAATAGGAGGTGAGAGACACAATTTTAAGCATAATAGTTAGGAAGCTGAGGTTATTTCACATTTCCTATTTTATTTTATTTTTTGTTACTTTTTATTTTATTTTATTTTATTTTATTTTATTTTATTTTATTTTATTTATGTTAAAATGAGAGAAAAGGGGTAAGATGTTAAAATTGGGGGAAGGTAACCATGGGTACAGCTATGAGGAATTAGCGGTAATAGAGGCTGAGAAAATGAAACAAGAGTTTATAGTTTTTGAAACAGGACTTTGAAAGATTATTGTCAAGGGTTCAAAATATTTAAGACTTGACAGGAAAAGTCTTAATTTTAGAGCAGAGAACACAAAAAGAATGAGAATGGTGAAATTCTTTCATCATATATATAATCTCATTTAGTTTTGATAACAGAGTCTAGTGTATCTGTAGTTAAGAGCACAACTGCCAGAAGTAGACGTCTTCACTACACATTTTGATTCTGACATTTAAGAAGTGCATGCAGGGGAGCCTGGGTGGCGCAGTCGGTTAAGCGTCTGACTTAGCCAGGTCACGATCTCGCGGTCCGTGGGTTCGAGCCCCGCGTCGGGCTCTGGGCTGATGGCCCGGAGCCTGGAGCCTGTTTCCGATTCTGTGTCTCCCTCTCTCTCTGCCCCTCCCCCGTTCATGCTCTGTCTCGCTCTGTCCCAAAAATAAATAAAAAACCTGGAAAAAGAATTTTTTTTAAAAAGTGCATGCATGTCCAAAGTGTATGACTTATATAATTTAATTTTCTCTGCCTCAATATCTTCATCCATAAAATGGGGATGACAATAATATCTATATCAAAAGAAATTTTAATACTAAACACACTTTTTTTTAAAGTTGATTTGAGAGATACAGAAAGAAAGGGAACTTAAGCTGGGAGGGGCAGAGAGAGAGAGAGAGAGAGAGAGAGAGAAAATTCCAAGCAGGTTCCACATGATGTGAGTGCCCAGCTGGAGCCAGGACTCAATCTCGTAACTGTGAGATCATGACCTGAGCTGAAACCAAGAGTCCAAAGCTCAACCGGCTGAGCCACCCAGGTGTCCATAAACGCACTTTTAAGCATCTATCGTGTGATTATTAGCTATTAACATAACATCCTTATGCAATATAATAGCATTATCCTCAATTTATAAATAGACTCCACAGTGAATTAGTCTTTATTTTTTTTTATTTTTTTATGTTTGTTTATTTTTGAGAGAGAGAGAGAGAGAGTGTGTGCGGGTGGGAGGAGCAGAAGGAGAGGGAGACACAGAAATCTGAAGCAGGCTCCAGGCTCTGAGCTCTCAGCCCAGAGCCCTATGCAGGGCTTGAACTTAAGAACTTCAAGGTCGCATGACCTGAGGGGAAGTCAGATCCTCAACCTACTGAGCCACAAGGCACCCAGATTAGTCTTTAAAATGAAATCTAAACTACTTACTAGGACTAGAACTTTCAAAACTCTGCGTATGTTTTCTTTTCTTTTTTTTTTTTTTTTCAACGTTTATTTATTTTTGGGACAGAGAGAGACAGAGCATGAACGGGGGAGGGGCAGAGAGAGAGGGAGACACAGAATCGGAAACAGGCTCCAGGCTCTGAGCCATCAGCCCAGAGCCTGACGCGGGGCTCGAACTCACGGACCGAGAGATCGTGACCGGGCTGAAGTCGGACGCTTAACCGACGGCGTCACCCAGGCGCCCCTCTGCGTATGTTTTCAACCTCTCTTTCCGTTACCCTCTTCGTTGCGATTTTCTAATCAACTAACTTTGTGTTCTTCACAGAGGCTAACTTCTCCTGCCCTGGTTCCTCCGACCAGAATGCTTTCTCACCAGCTCTTCTGATATTTTCCTTCTTCTCACCCACCAGTGCTCAGTTCATGCTGAACCCTCTGTTCCAAGTAGTCTCCACTTATCTCTTCAGTACCAAGCCCTTGCTCCTCAACACGACCCCAGAGCCCCTCCATACCAACATTGCTTGAGTCTTACTAGAAGAAAAAGCAAAGCAGGACCTGTGTCATGGTCCCTAAACCAACCCTTCAATATTATCAGATCGTAATCTGTGAAATGCTGGAGAAAACTGGTTCCAACATTTAAAATGTTTCAAAGCTGCCGTTTGTCTCTCTACTATTCATCATTTTTTCTGTAGTCTTTAACTTAAATGTAGTGAGATTTCACATATATATCTCTTATACATCTTATTTTGCATAAAATGAGATAAAATATCTTAGGTTTGTAAATGATGAATTTTTAATACTTAGTAGTACAAAGAAGGTAGAAAATTCTGTTGTAAATGACAACAGAATTCTGTTGCATAAAAGAGCAAGAATTATAATCAATGCTTTAGTATAAGAAATATTTTGCCTCAGTCCATACAAATCCACCTGGCATCTTGAAAATAACGTAAATTGCATTGTCCCAAATGAGACTGAAATTATTTTTACACATCTCTACTCATCTAACTAAAACCATAATCCACCTGAAAAAGTCCTTATCTTTTCCAGCACTTTATTTTGTTGGGATTAATTAGAATACCAGATACAGACATGAGCAACTCACTTTCAGTCTTATTCAAAGCAATCATTAGGGTCAATTTAGAGAGGAAAGACATATCCATATTTCTGTAAATATAAAAACAATAAAATAACTTTCCTAAGCTTAATAAAGGAAAGGCATTCTAATGACAAAATACAATAAGACTTATATGGTAGAATTACATTATATATGTATTCAACTTGACTATATTTAATATTCTTGATCATCCATATTGGGACTTACAAAAAAAAAAAAGACAAAACAAAGTGGGATTTTTTCAAAGATAGAAAATAACAGATTATATAGCCTGGGCAATTCTTATTATCAATCTGCTTACTGAACTTATACCCAACAGTGAGCTTGAAATAATTAGATTTACCTGTTCCCTTAGGTTCAGAACCCCCTGGCCCAGAATTAGATAGATCTCTCCTAATGCTGAATGTGATTCTAGATATTTAAGGGAGCTTTTAAATTTAATATAGAGCCCCCCAGTGTAAGTCAACTGCTTCAGCTGTTACAAAACAAAAGAGTTATTTCTTTCAAATGCTAGAGAAAAACTTTGGTGAGTTATAGCCAAGCATATGAGAAAAAAAGGAGTGTAGGTTTTCAACATGGCAACTTTCTAAAGAACTTTGAAGGGTAATTTGAGTTTAAGTGATTTCTACCTTGGTTTTTAGATTAGGATTGCCAAAGACAATTTTGCTTCTGTATGATTGTCAAGAGAAATTTTGGCTTTAGGTCCTGACTCTTCCAAAATAATCAGCTCCACAACAGTTAGAAAGAAGAGCAATTTTATTCACTTTTGGCAACCATCATCATTATATTTCATTTTAATGAATATTTGCTAAACAAGTTTACAGGGTAGGTGCTATAATTCTGCTCAGAACTCTGAGATGTTGAAAGAAAATTAAAGCACATTTCATTTCACTTTATTACCTTCATTTGTTTGTTTTACTTGAGCCTATATATCTGGTGAAATTTTTACAGTCATGCTATATTACCTTCCTTTCTTTTATATTCCACTTTCCATAATATTTGACTTTGCTCATTGCCCAAACCTTTTCCCTTATTCTTTCATGTGTTTATATTTCACATTTTTGTATGTCCACATCCTCTAAGGAAAACTTAAACAACATATTTCAAATGTATTTAGTTCAGTATTTAGTTCACAGCTCTGCTAACACAATCTTCTGTAGCATGTGCAATTCTTAGAATAAGGTTCACCTTGGCTATTTGCCATTATCATTATTTCTGTATGAAATTGATTAGTGATATATTTATAGCCCTTATGATATTTTAGCATTACTACATAAATATATTCTAAAGCTACCATGATTATTAAAAAGGGGAGGTGTTCCCTCAAGCCCCCAGAGGATCAGGTTGATCTGTGGGTCATACAGATTTGAACGAACTAGAAATGTGTGACATTGCTAAAATTAGTATCTACTTTACTATTTCTTATAGTAGTTTTCATTTTGGCATGTTCAGGAATATCAATGATATCAATATAATGATAAAATACTTTAGCAACTTGATACTATACTATGTTGTCATATTTATAGAATATATACATATATATATGTGTATATATATATATATATATATGAAAGCAGCATGTGATATCAAATAGTTGATAGTTTTATTAAGCACCCTTTCTATGGTAGGAAACATTCAGATAAGAAATATAGTTTTATATAATAAACAAGAAAACATGGGGTGCCTGGGTGGCTCAGTTGGTTGGGCAACTGACTTGAGCTCAGGTCATGATCTCGCATTTCGTGAGTTCAGGCCCTGCATTGGGCTCTGTGCTGACAGCTCAGAGCCTGAAGCCTGTTTTGGTCTGGGTCACCCTCTTCCTCTGCCCCTCCTCCACTCACACTCTGTCTCTTTTTCTCTCAAAAACAAAGAAATATTAAAAAAGAATGAAAAAGAATATAAACAACCTTGCATTTTCAGCAGAGTATTAAATTGTGCCATCACAATTTAAATACATACTTTTATTTACTGTATTCATTACTCTAATGGCTAAAAACGTTAATAAAAGCGAATACACTTTTGTCTCCATTATATTTTATCCCTTATTATCTATAAAATGAAAAGGGTACTTCATTATAAAATTAAACTCTTAATGTTAATAATTTTAAATGAATGCAATTTACCATATGATGAACAATTCATAAAAATGACCTCAACGTTTTAAAGTGAAATGGCATACATTTTTTCTTTACTTAAAGCAATTAGACGGATGCCTGGGTGGCTCAGTCGGTTAAGTGTCCAACTTCAGCTTAGGTCATGATCTCATGGTTTGTGGGTTCGAGTCCTGCCTTGGGCTCTGTGCTGATAGCTTGGAGCACGGAACCTGCCTCAGATTCTGTGTCTCTTTCTCTCTCTGCCTCTCCCCTGCTCATACTCTCTCTCTCTCTCTCAAAAATAAATAAACATTAAAAAAAATTAGAATCTGTTTTTACCAAACTCTCAACATTCAGGTGGAGGCAAATATTTGATAAGTCTTTAATTATATTAATGTTTAAACCACATTTATGAATAGGCGTTTTCATATTTCTTCTTCACAACTGTGTAACAATAATTCTGACAAGCATTTCCTTTAGAAATCTTATAAAATAAATATCTTATTAAGATTCCATATGAAATATTTCCAGCAGCATCCTGGAGTTCCTTGTATGAACATATCAACATTGAACCACTTTTGAGTTGATTTCCTTTCTTGAGAACAGCTAAGCTGCTTCACAAGGATACAAAGAAAGCTGTGGGGAATCAGGAGACTTAGAAGCCCAGCATTTTTCTAGTTTTGACTTCTAAGTATAGAATCTAAATCGTGAGGCAGGCCTCATTGTGCTCTGTCTGATAACATCCTAGTCACTGCTTCCGTTATTTTTGTTAGGAGTCCCTACATCTATTAAAATGCACTTCATCGAATACAGTAAACTTTTCTAGTTCTTTTTGGCAAAAACATATTTTTAAAATCTGATTAAGATAACACACTTCGGAGAGTCATCATTACATGTGACTACGAAAGCAATAACGCAAATGAACTTGGGAAAAATAAACTGGGAGAAAATTTTAGATGTCATTATCTTCAGACTTTGATAAGTCTATTTGACACTTCAAAAAAAAAATGATGCTAAGGATTTAATGCTTTGTGAACAGAGTTGTTCGTTCTAAAGGGTTTAATTACTCTGGGTGGTAAATTACGTTACCTCTGTAAATAATGCGGAGTTGAAAGCTTCAGGAATAGGCTGTCCTTATGCCTTAGACATAGAATGATAGTAATGATATAACCTGGAGATGCTTTAAGGCTATTTTTGTCGATTCCACTTGAAGATTGGCCCCTTACTTCTGGCATGCATTTCAACATTCTACCATTGTCCTACAATTTTCTGGTGCTCATTTGTCACGCTGACAGAAACCAGTTTAAAATTTAAATCCATGTCCCTCCTGAATCCCGTAAAAGAGTTTGTAGGCCGAAGCTTGTGCAGTTGACTGATGATGCTTCTGTCAGGTGCCAGAAGATCCAGCAGAATCGCTCAACAAGTTTCTTAACAAGATAAACAATAAGGAAGATCACAGAAAAACAAATGACTTATCATGAGGTTGCTTCCCTGGCATTCTTCATATTAGTCCCCTAAAGTCATTTCCCCAAATACACCACTTCAAAAGTGGGAAGTATTCCTACTTGTATATTGATATTTAATTCTCTCCTAGCTTATTCAGCTTATCATTTGTAGAGAAAGAGCACACGATTGAAATATATGGTAAAAGATTCCTTAAAAATATACCTTGATTTAATCAAGCACTTTTTGTATCTCAAGGATATAGGTTGGTCTGATCGTGCACTAATTCTACTATGAGTTTATACATCATTATGACACAGTTCTCTTTGCCGATTTCCAACATCAAGACTATGTCCTTTAAAATGCCTTTCTTTTATGGGGCGCCTGGGTGGCGCAGTCGGTTAAGCGTCCGACTTCAGCCAGGTCACGATCTCGCGGTCCGTGAGTTCGAGCCCCGCGTCAGGCTTTGGGCTGATGGCTCGGAGCCTGGAGCTTGTTTCCGATTCTGTGTCTCCCTCTCTCTCTGCCCCTCCCCCGTTCATGCTCTGTCTCTCTCTGTCCCAAAGATAAATAAGAAAAAAAATGTTGAAAAAAAAATAAACGTTGAAAAAAAAATTAAAAAAATAAATAAATAAAATGCCTTTCCTTTAAACTAGCATCTATCAAAACCTGAGCCATGGAAGTTTATGGTTGCATATTTTCATCTCAATACAAGCCATACTAAATGGGTGTTATCCTGAGAGAATTTTTTTTCCCAACTGCGTATTTAAATCTACCAAAAAAAGCCACAAAAGTAGATCATTAAGACAGAGGTATATGAGTGATTTTATCTGGATACATGGAGTTATTGTGTTCACCCCCTTCAACTTATGGCAGAATATGTGCGTGCCCAGGTTAAGTCATGTGTAACATGCATTTTATCTTGTATAAGTGGTCTGTAGTTTGAAAATATGGTAATTTGTTTATTTTATCTGCTTAGCCGTTGCATTACTCTCTTTGAAAAATTAAATTTACTACATATCACTTATGTGTTCACCTTTGTTACATTTGTTTATTCAGTAAAATAGAGCAGCTAGACAAGAAATTAAGGGCTGTGTTCCTGCGTAAAGCTATAGACATAACACGCAGATATGCACCACAGTTTACCTTAACGTACCAGGAGAGTTCTAATGATAGGCTGATGTATTGACCTAAGTAAATTGCTTTAATTTTTGCAAAACAAATCAGATACTATCTAATTAGATAATTAGTTTTGTGTATTTTTGTTCTTGAATTATAACCACTTATTAGTCATATCAGATTAGATCATTTGAAAACTTTTTAAAAGTTCTAGTGCTGATAATTCACATGAAATAGTATCAAAAGGAGGTAAAATCTAGAAAGATCTTTGTTGTCATCATGTTGTGACCCATGTGTTACAGAAAACAACAAAACAGAGAATGATTACTGAAAACATCTTTGGGAATAGTACTTAAAAAGAACAATTGGATGTTAATGAATATTAGAAGCACATTTTCTATTCATTCATAAAATACATTAATATTGCACAGCAAAAGAGAAATCATTAGAAGTACAATTCTGTTGATTCACCTTCACTTGAATACACAACAAAGTCACAGAGGTAGGAAACACCCATAATGTAATATCCCTAATGAAGTGAAATGGAACTTTGTGCAGCTTAGTTTCTAAACAGAAAGAGATATCCACTCACAACATATTACGAAGATTTCAGAGGACAAAATGTTCTAAGGTTTTGATATCACCTGTGACAGTTAATGTTCCTGAAAATAATGACACGGCTAGAAATGTGTAGACTTCATAAAAAGAGCACGTCATGCTTGTCCATGAGACTAAGTTTCCACCAGAAACAATAGCTTCATTAAGTGGATAAGACCAGGGGTAAACTAGCTGTTCTAATGGAAATAACATAAATATAATTGTATTTGCCATACCCATGATCAATAGAGCCCAGTATTCTGGTAGTGACACTCTGGACTATTAAGCCTTTCTACTTGGCTAATCTAGCATTTCAAACATAAAATTTATAACAGCTCTCTATTCCCACCAGATCTAACATTCTTTTTTGTCTCTAATTATAACCAAAGACATTTTCATTTTCCTGACCACTTATGTGGTGATTTTGAATTTTCACTCTACCCATACTTCCAAATTCAGGTATCAGTTCTTTCCTTTGAATGTCTCCTACTTTAAATGCCTCCTTGTCATTACTTTCATTGCTGCTCTTGTTCATGAATACATCATCTTATACCTGGATTGCTGTAGAGATTTTCTAATGTATTTTCCCAGTCTCCCGTTTCTCCACATTTATATTTCAAATTAAATACTAGTGAAATAATCATCATAACACTATGGACAGACTCCTGCTGAAAAATATTGATGGTCTCCCTTAATGAGAGAATAGGTTTTAAACACCTTGACCAGCATTTAAGGATCTCCATATCAGAACTTGTGCAGGCTGTGTAATGCACAAATATTGTTCTTTAGTAATAAAAACCATGGGTTAAAAATATTTAACATTACTGAAAAAAAATTATCCTAGGTATCCAGGATGACAGGAGGAAAGAGAATGCTATAAATTTAGGAGCACTAGTTAGGAAGAAGGGAGTGATCTCTTGGACTTTAGATCCCATGATTACTAAATATCTATGGAAGCACTCTATGTTGGTGTTTGGAAACAATGCTCCATGAATAATTTTATATGTCCACCCGGTCAGAGCTTTCAGAACAAATAACACTGGTATTGGATTTAAAGAGGATTAGATGGTAAACATGACTTTGAAGTTAGACGTTGTACTGCTCCAAGGGAATGTAAAATAGCCTTTCTGCTGGATCCATTTGCTTAGCTTCTAAGTACAATAAATTCTGAATCATTTCTTTACATTTCAGACTAGAGAAAGAGATCTAGAGATCCTCTCTCTACTGCCCCCATCAATCCGCAGAGAAGATTTGTCTGTATTCCAGAACAAAGGTCTTTTTTATTCTATCTGCAGAGGGAGAGTGGTCAGATGTACCAGCTGCCCTACACAAGCTCCAGGTTTCATAATTCCATCTGCTCTGGTGCAACCACTGCATGTAGTGACAGTCTGCTCTCATTGCATTGCCCTGTGGGGGGTTGGGGTACGGGGAATCAGAGCTGCTCAGATTGCTCTGTGAATAAATAAAAAGTCTGTTTTCTGATCCAGAAATACAGCGTTTCTGTTCATATACATAGATAGATGTTGGTATGAATGATAATACACAGATTATTATAGAGATAGACATACATGTACTCTGTATTTGTGTACATATATAAATACATATCATATATTAATACATATATGTTTATATGCACATATATGTATACATATATATGTATATTGCGTAGATGCATATATATGTGTGTATACATATGTATATACAGGATTGTCCTTTCTGAGAGTAGAGCTTGCCTATGAAAACTTCTGGAAGCTGAAATAGGTTAAGTGAAGAAACAATTATCATTCATTCATATAAATGTTTTTTTCAAACATTTCCAGACCCCCAAAACAACTTCTTTTAGGCTTTTCTGAAAACGTAGGGCACATCTTGCTAAGGATGCACAAAATAAATGAGATAAAGTTGATGTTCACACACACAGTTGAAACGTTATGGTGGCTTGGGATACTGAGATGCTGCGTGTCATTCCTGCAAAAGGAGCTTGGCTGGGGGGAGGCGGGGGAGAGGGGGCAGGGGCACTGTCACTGCTAGCGGTGAGTACTGACTCTATAATGGTTTGTGGCAAAACAAATGCTGAATGCTATTTTTGCTTTTTACCCCTTTCCTGTAAAAGTGAAAAAAAACCTTTTTGCTTTTTTTTTTTTTTTTTAGTTAGCAAAAACACATATGAATGTAGGTCTTTCATAAAAACATGTGTTCTAATGTGCACTTTTGAAAAGTGGGGTATACCTGCATGAGTGTGTGTGTGTGTGTGTGTGTGTGTGTGCGCGCATTGTGTGTGTGTGTGTGAAACTGCAGCGGGCTATCATATTAACAGTGTAATACCTAAAATCCTGTATAGTTTCACACCTGCCTGTTAGTAGGTAATCTAGTCAGTAATCTAATCTAGCCAATAATCTAGTCAGATTAGTTGTCACTGTAAAGAAGGTTGGACTAGGATTCTGAAATAGGATTTTTGAAGCAATGATCTATTTCATAAATAAAACGATGCAGCTTAAGTAAGGATGATGTGGCTTCAGTATTAATGATTTTAAGCTACTGAGAAAGCCTGAGGAAAGAAAACAAACGCAGGCCCTGAAATGTAGAAAGAATACCATATTGCCAACTGGAAGAAGCAGGGAAATAAATGTGAGTTTTTGACCCATAACAATAGGAAAATACCCATTATCTGGCACCAATTAATGCCCTCTGGCTATTGGAGTTGCTAATTTTGAAAACCATGAGATTTCAAATTGTGCTGAGATGGTTGGGATTAAGGTTGAGAGTGCTTTAAAAGAAATTGAATTTTTCACAGTTATGTTTGTATACTCATACCTCCCATAGCTGTTTTCTGGTCTCTGTGCCACTTCTGAAGGTGGTGGTTTATACCCCATTTATGGTGACTAAATGAGCGGAGTGAAATAAATGTTAGAAGAGGGAGGGCAGAGGGCAAGCCAAAGACTTTTAAGTGTCCTTGTTCCAAAGAAAGTGGGTAATCTACGTTCTTATGCCAATTCTAAAACATAATACTCCTGTATTTTAAGTGGTAGTTCTGCTGAATGGTACATCCATGCTTCCTATTGTGGTTCTGTTCTTGACGTTAGTAAACACAAAATTAGATACTCTATTAGAACCATAGAGAGAAAGCACTTGAGGAGTGGATGTAACAGAGGGAGCAATGGACGAGATATGAGCAGTGGATGTCATTTGCCCTGATATTTTAAACGTAACGACACTGTATAAAGATTTAATCCCCATTATGTTCTGGAACAGAATTTTGCAGGATCCCTTTGGCTAACCTTGGAGAAGATGTAAGTATCGCTGATAGAAAATTGAACAGTGTCGTCCACCTTTTACAGGTGGCTGGATAGCCTGAACCACTGGCAGCCTGAGCGCGTTTGGAGAAAATTGTGTGACACCACATATGGCTTTCATGTACCTAACGGGGAAAATGAAATAATTTAAAATGAACATGAACTGAATAACCTCCGCA